CCCATCTCAAGCATTCTTTTTTGTAGTTTTATTAGAAAAATTATATATATACCTACTCTTCCATCTGTAATATTCAAGACGTTTCTTTCATATCTAATAATTTCTTTCATTGCTTTTCACAAAATGTTCGAGCATATCCTCCTATATAGCATCCAGTGTACATCGATCCAAAATCGTAAATTAGTATTCAATCCCCTCTTCCTTGTGCATTGAGTATTAATTACGGATGCTCTAAATTCTAATGATTCATCAGAGTCATTTTTCAGAGCATCTAAATTTTTTCATTAAAGTTCCTACTGACTCATTAATAATGATCTGCCTCTTAATAACTTTACTAGAATCATTTTACCAACACTAGCAGCCCTGACAAACCAACTTTTTTTCTTGGAAACACATTAAGAATTTTATTGTCAACAGGTTGTTGAGCTATATTCTGCTTGGTCTTTGCGTCAATAATCGGTCTTGTCTTATTCTTTGAGAAACTTAGACAGAATAGCTTTCATCACAATCATTGCAAATTGTTGACCTACACATGATCTTGGTCCCTGAACATTGGTGAGAAAAGAGTAATCAAATTCTCATTTTTTATGAAATGTTGTGGATCAAATTTAAGTGAATATCAAACAACTTTGGTGATGATCAAGACTAATTACAATGTTTGTACCTGCCTTAATATGAATTCCTGAAACTTCACAATTATTCAGAGATTTTCTAATGATAACTGGTCCTACAGACATTGTTTTCATAGATTCTCATAAGACAGCTTCCAAAAGTAAATCATCTAAAGAATCCATTAATTGGTTCATAATTTTTTTATTTTCAGTAAGTAGTAGTATGGTATAATACATGCTAACAGAAGCATTATCTATGCCTGCAAGAACTATTTCAAGAATATATTGTTGTAGTTCTTCATTTGTCAAGTTATTGTTATGAAGTTGGTGTTTTTTTTGTGAGTATTGAAATAATGTTTTGAATTGCTTCTCAAAGTTTCAAAATGTATTTTTGGTGATGAAAAAGATGTAAAGGAAACAAATACTATATGAAATGTGGTTTTAATAAAAAAATTCCCAAGATTTAAAGTAGTCAAGAATGCAGTCAATTAAGTAATATCAAATCAAGTTAAATAATGAGAATGACTGCAAGAGAGATATGTCGAAATACATTTAAATAATCAATAATTTGTGCATTGTCTTTTAATGCTGATTAATTTTTTGCTGGTTTTTTTCTGCTACAATGGTAGAAGCTCTTTGTCTAGCATTTTGAAGTCTAACCAGCTTGAAATATATGTTTTTGAAATATTTATTTCGAAGCATCGTTATTCCAAATATAGTAATAGTAGGTTTCATAATTATTTTGAAAAATAAGTGGGAGATTAAAAGATTCTACTTCTATTTTTAAAATTCAGACTCAGTGAATTAAATAGGCAAACACTTTAATAAAATTAGCTTTGTTTTGATAAATTTTTATTACTATCAATAAGTTTATTCATTAAAAAAATAGTATTTATTGATGATCAATTATATCATTCATTGCTGTAGCATATAATTATATATCATGTGTTACATACATAATATAGACCAATCTGCCTGCAGCTTATTTATACAGGACAGCTATTAAATAATTATATGCTGCAGCAATATTAACTCGAACTTCAGGAGGTCGCTCTGGTATTGTCTTTTTATTGTTCTCAGCTTCTTTTTAGCATTTTTTATATTGCAATATCATTTTATATATATATACTATATATTTTTTATTAAATCTGTTTGCAACAAATCTCAAAAAATAGCTAATAATAAATAAATTCTTGATACTTAACTACAATATGTGGTTTTATTATTATGCAAACTTAGCCTTAATAAATCGGAATAATACTGGTATTAATTATTGGTATAATTTTAGTAATACAATTAATTAATTATATATAGGAAGCTATATTAAAAAATTGACCAAGGCAGCCCTCAAAAATACAGGTCATGTAGCGTAGTGCCACCTGCTATTGTTGAACCTAGTGATGCCAACATAACATGTGAGATACATATATTACACAATCTAATCAATTATAGTATTAGTACAACAATCCTGCATAATGTGTATATAGTACAAATATCACAAAAAGCTATATATAATATAGCTAAACAAATCAAAAAATCCAAACTTAAATCTAAAAAAATTTTTTATATTTTATGCTTATCATAATTATAGATTTGTTTATCTTTTATTCAATTTTTCAATTAAATTCGATATAATAACTTTATAAATAAAATAGGTTTTACAAAATTCTAATTTAGTTTTTTAAAAATTTACAAAAAGAACAAATCTTTAAGCCACTAAAAACTCTTTATAGATATATATATTTTTTAAAAAACTGACTAACAATATTGTAAAATTCAATTTTGTGTATAAAAATTATTAATAAAGTTAGTTTAGTTATTTATTTATTTACCAATAATTTTATACACAAAACTGTTTTATATACAAAATTACTAGTTAGTTTTTTTAAAAAATTTCTATAAAAAACAATCAATTTTTAAGCCACTAAAAACTCTACGTATTTTTTTAAAAAAACTAATAATTAGTAACTTTGTAAAATTTGATTTAATATATAAAGTTATTATTAATTTTTTTTAAAAAATTTTTTATAAAAATTTTAACAATTCAAAAAAGGAAAATTATAAATGGCAATCCATCACGCACGCACTTATTTGTGTGGATAATAGAAAGAAAATGAATGGCCAATCAGAGAGCACAAAATTTGATTGTTCCGGAGTAGCTCGACATAAATTTCGAACACGTGCGAAAGAAGAAAAAGGTGAAAATACTCAAAAACTAGTGTTTAAATCGATCTTGGTTCACTAATTAAAAATTTTGGAAACAAAATTTTTTTTTATATATAACGAGCAACAGTTTTTGTTATAGCCTCTAATATTAACGCTCTAACCCTAAACTTCTATCTTTATGCATCAATCAATCACATTTAAAATTAGTGATCATATAATTAGATCATGTAATTTTATTTTTTTTTTAAACGGGCTTTTTGATAGGCTTTTCGCTTCGCTTTGGCAGGTTTGTATTTTGCTTTTTTTATTTATTTTTTTATTTGTTTTAAAACTAACAATTTTTTTTCTTTGCTGTTTTAATTTATTCTTTATTTTTTTTTTTTACGTTTCTTTATTTTTTCTTTTATAGTTTTTTTTTTTGTTTCTTTTTTTCACCATTTCTTTTCTTTTTTATTCTTTATTCTCTTCATTCTTTTTTTTTTTGATCATTTTTCTTCATTCTTTCCCCTTTTCTTCGTTTTCTTTTTTTTTCTCTTTTGTGTTTTTTTGCTTTCATTTTTTTTTGTTCTTTTTCCCTTCTTTTCTTTTCTTTTCTTTACTTTTTGTTTTTTTATTCTCTTTCATTATTTTTCTTCTCTTTCTTTCTTCTCTTTCTTTATTTTTCATTTCTTTCTTCTCTTTCTTTATTTTTCGTTTCTTTCTTCTCTTTCTTTATTTTTCGTTTCTTTCTTCTCTTTCTTTATTTTTCGTTTCTTTCTTCTCTTTTTTTTCTTTTTTTGTTTCTTCTCTTTCATAATTTTTCTTCACCTTATTTATTTCTTTTCTTGTCATTCTTTTATTCCTCATTTTATTTCCTTTTTTTTATCCCTACTCTTCATTTCTTTTCTTCTCCTTTGCTCTTTCTTTATTTCTTTTGTTTTTTTTTTTTTTTTATTTCTTTTATTCTCTTTGTTATTTTTATTTCTTTGCTTCTTTTTCCCCTTTTGTTTTTTTCTATCTTTTTTTTTTCTTTGCTTTTTTTTTATCTTTTTTTTCTCTTTTGCTTTTTTTTCCTTCATTTGTTTATACTGTGTGATCTTTATATCTATACAGTGTATCTTTTTATTATTATTACTATTTCATATCGCATTTGTGCCTAAGATAATAAAATAAAATTTATAACCATTTAAAATTCTAGTAAAAAAGCATCCTTTTTGTGCTTGCATGTCTAGTTTAACTTTGCTTTTAGAGCTTTTTAGTACATTTAGTTTTTTTTTTCTTGTGTTTTTTTTTTGCCAGTATGATGAATAGATTGTTAAAGAATATGGCAAAAGAACTGATTTGTTGATCATCAGATATTTTAATTTTATTATTTGCCATTTCAAACTCGGCCACCTACACGATATTTACATGTGTTGTTATTCCTATTAGCATGATCAAAGGATAACTTTTATATGATTAGTTGTTTAAGTCAATTTAATTTTACATTATTTATATAGTTTAATTGATAATTTGTTTCCGAATAAGGCAATCATATATAACTATATATAGTAAATCATGCCGCATTTTACTATAGGTTTTACTATAGCCAAAAATACCATTTCATGTAAACAATAGTTTGTTTACATTAGTTGGCAAATCATTTTCTTGCAATATCTTGGCATCTACTAATCAGATTTTAATGATATTACTACAGTGCAGGAATTCTTAAATCAGCAACCGAAAACTAATAATTCTTTAAACTTTTATAAAAAAATAAAAAATATAATTAAAAGAAAAAATC